ACTCCCCTCCTTGCTATAAAACGTCTGGTTCATATCTTTTTAAATGTACTTTTAATCAGCTCATTCCATAAATTTTGAGGTCTCTTAGGTTGTTGATGCTGGCCCACCTCTTTATTTATCTATCTCATGATTTCAATTGATATATGATGTTTTCAAATATGTGTTTAAATTTAGCTCTTTCTCCTTAGCCTACAACTTATATATCTCATTATGTCTCTGAAATATCCATTTGCAAGCCCCTTAGACACATAAAGCTCAGTTTGTCACAAATTCATAATCTCTAACAATTTCCTTGCTCTCCACAAAATAGCAGGACAAAAAAATCAAAACAGAAACTCCCCAACCTACCTCTTTTCCTCAACTTTATCTCAGTAATTCCCATACTGCCATAGGTTTACCTAAGTCAGAAATTCATACACACCATCCCTCTGTTTCCTCAATCTATTCAGTTACTGAGATGTTTGCTTACATATATCTCAAGTCCATTCAGTTCTCTCCATCTTTAATAGCCTAACCTAAGCCACCAGCATCACCTGAGTGATTGCAGTCAGCTCCAACTGTTCTGTAGTCTCCAATTATGAGTCTTACTTTGAAACCAAAGTGGTCCACTTGTAAATCTAATCACATCATTTTCCTTGAAATCCAGCAGTGTTACCTCATTACCATCAAGATTTCAAACTCATATAATACTAATTATATACAGATTCTCTTTTGATCTGATTCCTTCTTACTTCATTAACCTTACCGGCTCAGAACTATGTTCTAACTGAACAGCTTCTCAAATGCACTGTGTAGTGAGTGTCTTTTTTCCTGAGGTTATTGTATTACCTGTTTCTTTTGTTTTAAGTGTGCTTCTTCTAATCCACCTTGGTTTTTTTTTCCTGGCTAGCTCTACTTGCTCCTTAGGAATCAGCTCAGACATTTTCTTATCAAAGTTGATTGATATTCCTCTCATCCTTATTGCCATTTAAAGTAATTTTAATTGACAGCTTCTCTGCTAGACATTTGCTTAGTACTTGTTTTTCTCCTCAACAAGACTATAAGCACCATGGGAACAAGGATTATTTTACTGTTATTACTTCCTCTACATAATTTGGTATCTGGCAAGTAGAAGGGCTCAGTAAATAATTGTTGAAAAATAAATGACAAGGGCTGAATATTTAGAATTCAAAGCTATAATCAAATACATAATAAAGTTCCTCTGACAGAAATAATGATCTAATCATTATTATGTTGCATAGAGAAATCCTAGTGTGGCACTGTAGGATAGGCACTAGATCACAAGGTCGGTTTGAACTGCAAACTTGGCTCAACCTTGGTTGTTATGAGAGTTAGAACTGACTCAATAGCACTTTACCAACACCATGTTCTAAAGTAATTAGGCATAAATGTAAAGCAATTCATATATAATTTATTTTTATTAATATTGTTTTTTACATGGTCAAAGCATGGCTTTAGTTTTTTTTTAAATCTATTTAATAAGTTACTGCTACCATTTCAGTTAAGGAGCTCTGGTAGTGTAGTGGTTATGAATCGGGTTGCCAACCTCAAGGTCAGCAGTTCGAAACCACCAGCTGTTCTGCGGGAGAAAGATGTAAATCCCGTAAGATTTACAGCCTCGGAAACCCTGTGCAGGGTTGCAATGATTCAGAATCAACTCCTGGTACTTAACAACAACAACAGCATTTCAATTGGAGATTTGGTGTGACACTGCCAGTTAATGTGCCTGGACTGCATGGTTGGTTTGAATTGCAAGGTCAGTGGTTCAAGCTTACCAGCCGCTCTTCAGAAACACTATACAGGATTGCTGTGAGTTGGAACGGACTC